TCTTGTAAAGAACGAAAGGTCGGTGACCTAAAGACGCTTTCTCAAGCGCAAAGCTACGACAGCCCCGCCGCAAGCTTAATGCCGCATATCACCTACAACTATACGCATCTGTTGAGAACGCTAAGTATGTCATTCTTCTTCCGTTCGCTGAGCAGACTGGTAGTTTTGCTTCTGCAGCTGTATTGCAATTTCAGAGTCCTTTTGACTCAGCGCCTTGAACGTTCCATCCCCTGAGCTCGTGAATGAACTTCTTGACTATCAGACGTGAATCTAACGATCCGTGTTCCGACTGCTAATGTAAGTCGTCTAACCGAACGTGATGATCGCAGGCTATTCGAATACAATGTGTCCATGCCGGATGCCAAGGAACAAACATGCTTGTATTGGTTGTGAGCGAAATAACACTGGATCGCTAAACCGGGAAAAATGTACATTTTACCAAAGCTTATTTAGAATGTAATGAGTAATTTCTATCTCATGCAAAAAAAAATATTTTTATCGCTGAAATAACTTCCTTGGATAGCTTAGAATATTTCTCAATTACGAGCTTCTTACGAAGCCAATCGATGAAATGAGAATCGATGCGACCAATTCTTCGCCTTGTACTTGTCCCAACTTATATATATGAATTATCATTGCTAAGAAACTTGAAGTGAAGATAAATTATAACATTCTCAGTAATATTGAGACTGGGTTGGTTGTTCATCGATAATACCCGGAATAAGAAGCATACACTTGTTTGATTGGTGTGCCCTTGTATTTTCATGAGTTAGTTCGTTCGCCGTTATGTATTAGTAATATACATGTCTTAACTTTTCTTTGAGAAAAATAATTCTGAAGTTCAGACAAAAGCAAAGGTTGTCAGTTCTCATTAGTCGAACGATATTGAAACTACCCTTAGAGCTTAGGTGGCTGGCCCTAAAGAAGGTTCTGGGAATATTCTTGGTGGTAAATTACGGTAAGGAAAAAAACTGCCGGCGTAAACGTAACACTACTGGAGTGATGAAGATGTCTCGTGTCCAGCGTGTCCAGCGTGTAAGTGTGCGACGCCGCTCTCACGTGCAATCTCGTTGCGGTGTTGTACTTCGTTATCGTACTCATACTTGTGCAAGTACATCGTAAGTGGAATCATCAAGACACAGGACAGCAGGGATAGCACATTAAGCACTGTCAGGTCACCGTCAAATACACTATTTGACATGTACACGGCTGGATACTCACAAAGGCTGCTGACAGAACCGACTGAAAAAATAATCCCTATAAGTGACCCCATGTTTTTGAGACCGAACGTCTTAGCCGTAAAAGCTGAGATAATTGCGTACAGAAACGCTCGGAATGCCGTAAATAGCAAGAAGGCAATGCACTGCAGCGGTAAAATTGGTGCGAGCTCGACCACATTATACAGCACACCCAGCGCATTTGTGAATTGCAGTGCCTTCGACAGTCCCCGTTTCTCCACCAGATAATCAATAAATGGAACGAAAATAAAGCCCATCGGCAAAATGAAGCTAAATATCTTGGTGTACAGGTAATTGTGTTCACGATCGCCGTAATTTTCTAGCAGCTTGTTTGTTGTGCCAATATAGACAGTAGCACGCAGCATCTGAACGGCTGCGTACGCCACAATGAATAAAAATTCGAAAGTCTTCATCTGCTTGAGAAGATCAATGTCCACATGGCAAAAAGCTGCATTGTCTTGCTTTAAAGGTTTGGAGATTAATGGAATACTCTCGGACGTGGTCTTCTGCATCTTCACACTGTCGTATTTAATATTGTTCGCCTGTCGATCTGCCATTGGTTCTTTGCGATGTGTCGTCACCTCCACTTCGTCACTCTTTACACTAGAGTTCTGCTTCGAACGCAGGTTCTTCTCATTTAGACCCCAAAGAATGATCAACAACAAGTAAACAAGTGTAGAAACTACTGCCAGTCCCAAAAGTAGCTCTCTGCGCGTCCAGCCAAAGCGCTCATGAACAGCATACAGGACGAGAAAGATAACACTGCTGCCGTCAAATAGACAGCTTATTGCTGCAAGAATTGCTGTTTGGTAACGCATGATGAGGAAGCTGGCGGGATACGATGACATCATAGTAATACATCCTCCGAAGGCAATAAGCGAGTAAGCTAGTACAAACACATCGAAGGTCTGTGACTCTGCAAATGCCAGCAAAATAATGCCTGCGACCTCAATGATTGCAGCAGTAATGACGGTCGCTTGAGGTCCTGTCCTGTCCATAAATATTCCAACAGGTAGTGCTCCAACGTTCACAGTTACTGCAGCCACCGCAAAGATGAGATTGAGTCGGTTCTCCTGCTCCACGCAAGCGGGCTCGCTCGGGTTTGTACACCGCTCATGGTACTGACCTTCCTTTTTAAGTAGTAAAAGCAATGGTGCCCATCCAAAGACGAGGCCAGTGAGAAGCAGGTCGGACAAACAGACCACTAGCACTAACGCAATGCGTTCGGGTTCAGTGCGTTGCGAGTATGGAGCCATCATCAAGATGTACCAATGTCACGTTTTTGTGGAGTTTTATTTTACTAATAATAACAAAGGCTTTGATTTCGAGTCGCCATCGAGTGTATGTAAATCAAACTTCATTGTTTACGAAGTTACCCCGATAAAAATGTCCGCGACAGTGGTGAACGCGGGCAAATACACGCTACACGTGCGCTGTGTAGCTGGCGTTGAGTCTTGCTGCTATGTGGATTCCATCGATATAGCGTTCGATCTAGGTTGTATCATCGGGCGTGTGGTAAATAAATCGAACATATTTATCACGCATGGTCATGTCGACCATATCGGCGCGGTAGTAGCGCACGCCGCACGAAGATCGTTGCAGAAGCAAAAAGCTGCTAGCTACTTTGTTCCAGCTTACCTCGTAGCGCATTTAGAAGACATGCTTAATAATATGGCTGTCATGCAAGGTGACATACCTTTTCCAGCCAAATTTGTTCCTCTCCAGGCTTTTGACGAGGTAAACATATCCTCCAAGTACATGGTACGAGCAGTGCCTACAAAACATCGCGTACCAAGCCTAGGCTATATTCTGTACGAGAGAAAAAGCTGCCTCAAGCCAGAGCTTCGGCACATGTTTGGTGAGGAGCTTGCGGCACTTAAGCGCGCTGGCCACGAGATCACAAACTTCAAGCTGACGCCAGAAATCGCATACACAGGTGACACTACCATTGAGGTGTTTACAACGGCATTAAATGACAACCGATCGAAGGACTTATTGCAAGTAAAAATACTCATCACCGAGGTACGGAGATTAATCAACATTATATCAAATATCTTAGTTTAGTTGTTTTTAGGCCACGTACGTTGACTCCAAGATGAATATTGAAGACGCAGCAGCTCGCGGTCACATACACCTCGACCAGGTATGTTGATCGATTGTGCTCTGTTGTGTGTGCCTTAATATTATCTTGTGGTTGTCGCGTAGCTTGCTGCTCACGAAAACCTATTTCAGGATGTGGGCATTCTCGTGCTTGTACACTTTTCTGCTCGGTACTGCGCTGAAGAGTTACACCAATGTATTCGGACGCGTTTTCCAGTGTCGCTTCAACAGAAGACGTTCCTTGGGTGCCAAGACAGTCACGTGCATACGGCTCAATCGCAAAATTAGACAAGTAAACACACATTGCATGTTTTTGTTGGTGGACTAAGCGTATTATATTCCAATCCCAATAAATAATAGTACAACTAACACACAGAATTAAACACAACTCAAAGCTACATCGACGAGCTCCAGAACTCGGAAAAGTTGCGGAGCGGAATAGGTCGCGATGCTCGCAGCACCAAAATTTCATCGCGCATAAGCATGGGCACAGGTGCGGGTGAGCGGTCGACATCTTCAGCAACAGCAACTCGCACTTCATTGCTAAACCTTACATTGCGTTTGGGCTTGCGAATCTTGGAAGGTGAAGATACTTGTGGAGGCTGTGCTGGCATGGCATGTACATCGAATATTCGATCTATGTTGGCATTTGCTTGCTCGCGCACTTTAGTACGACGCTGTCGAGAGATCTGGTCATTAGCGCGCTCAATTTTCTCGAGCACTGTAAGCGCCCGCTCCCACTGGTTTTGAAGACATAGCGCCAGTGCATGACGACGGGAATTCTGGATGAATGTGATAGCGTAGCGAATATTGGCACAAGCTAAAACAAAGGGTGACACAGCCACATTTTGCTGCGTCTGCTGATGAATTTGGTGATCATTGAAGACCTGCTGCTGTCGCTGGGCTAACACGGCAGCAGCCATGGCATGCGGCGAGTGCGGTGAAGCTTCACTGGCCTGTTTGCTGACCTTGAGAAGGTGGAGATCATCGTCGGCACTGCGCGCACGCTTAAGTGCTGCCACAGGCGACACAGGGACGACACATGAAAAGCTCATTGATTGTAACAGTCTGTGAGGACAGACACGGTAATTATGTAGTAGGCGGATTTTCTCGTAATGAATTCACTGGTCCGCCTCACCGTGTTTGCTGAAGCGATTGGACGCTCTTGCGTCACACAATAAGCACATGAACCTGTAACTGAAATTGCTTATCTTAGAATTTGTAAGGACGGTACAGAGCCCGACCAACCATCATAGACAGTCAGACTGGATACAACAAACAGCATTTCTCACGCAGCGTCGCACGTGGCACAATCGTACAACCTTGTATCCACTCTCGTGGGGTTGCTTTCGTAGGGTTGCTTTCGTGCTAGCCACAAAATTTAAGCTGTCGTCTTAAGAATTACAATGAAAAGCTTTCGAGAGGACGTTCTGATTCAGAGTACTAGATACTTTGTCCCACTGAATGAACGACTGGGTCACTATGCTTCAGCTAGAAAAAAAATTGTTCATAGTGTGCTACATACAGTATAATGGTTCCGAAATTTTGTCATCAGCGCCCTAGGTAATGCTGCTCTTATTAATGTGCTAATCGTGTGCGATTGGGATTCGCTCTTTTCGCATAACAACATCTTTAAATAACCCGCAACCTAATTCCTATCTCTGATATAGGTATTAGAAGAGATGCGTGACGCGTGTCTCTAGTGAATGCACCCCAATTCACTGCAAGATGCGTTCGTTCACAGCAGCCGCTTGACGTTGCTGATAGTGTGGTAAAGCTGTGTTGATGTGGACTCTATCCCGAGTATTACGTTTTCAATATATAAAATAGAATCAAATCTTTCGCGAAAAACACGAGGTTCTCCATTGATATATTACTCCATATGTATTTTGCAGAACATGATGTTCAATGATAGCATAGATAAGCAGTAGCCACTATGTTATGGTCCTGAAAGCGTATCATTCTCAGCAGCCTGCATATTATTTCCCACTCGACAAAATCGAGCCGTAAGCTACCGCAATGTTCACTGCTATTGGCATGTAGACTGCGGGTCGTGGCCGCAACACCGCCGCCAGTGCTTCCTTGCCTGTTGTACGTTTGTCTATGACGAAAAGTCATCTCTCTCCCACCTGGTATTTCAAGTGCACCCGGAAGCCAAAATTATTGAATACGCGATGTTGCAAATCGTGACTTACTCAGTCGACAGTAAAATTATTTACTAAATTTGTAAGCACACCTTGGCAGCGCACGTTGTGCACCCACCCAATACGTATTGACCTTGGCCGAGACATTTAGCAAGCCAAATCAGTTTTCGTCGCATCAATGTCACAGAACATATTTAAAAAAATGAAACGTAATTTTTGATGCAGAATTTAACATCGCAGTTCCAAAGTCATTGTACATATGGCGCCTAATGAAGCGGTAATCACAGAAAACAGCTGGCCAGCAGCTCAGCGACAATTCGAAAAGTAAGAAAGAAGTTAAAGCGGTTATTTGGGTGTAAGCGGGTACCAGGACAAGATTTCAAGAAGAGATGATTTTACTCGTTTCTTGTCGAAATAACGATTCAGAGACAGTGAAGACCATCGGCTTTAAGGTGTTCTATAATGCTGTACGAACATAATAGCTAAGAAGTTCATACAGAATTTCTATTACAATACATACATACCCAGAATTCCATAAGGATAATTTATAAAAATTGTAGAGCCGTCCATTCTCTCGGAGAAACTAAATGATCAGTTACCAAGTGTATTCGAATCTGAGCAGTCATGGTGTTAAGGTGACAAACACAGGAGTTGAGTTGTTATCCATGAGTATCTATTTCTGGCTCTGGCACTTTAAAATACCAAGATGAACGAGAATTTGACAAATACTGCTACCGCAAAGAAAATATTTGCTGCAGTCTGGTCAAATTCGCAAGATTCTGGTGCTGTGGCGAACATGTTAACTATTATGGGAAGGTGTAACTATAGAAAATCGTAAGGGGAGGCTCGTCCGAAAAAGTTGTAAATGATCGTTTACAAAATTGACTTATTTCAAGTTGCTTTAGCCTTCGAGCTTCGTTCTGGACGCACGTGCACGCCTAGCGGCCGAGGGAACCATATCCAGAAAAGCTAGACCTCGTAAAAAAAATACCGCGCGCCTCTCCATGACAACAGATCCACTTCTAGCAACCGCCCTGTGGTGGAAAGAGCCACGTTGAGGCGAAAGCTTCATATAGAGGCAGCTCAATATTGCCAGCCTCGCAAACATTATTGGCTTGGTAAAAAGCATTAACCAAGTAGCACGAGTCGAATAGATCATTAATATTCTCATCTTTAATAATTTCAATGGGCAGATTGGGAATGCCATACTACCTCACGTGTAGGGTTTGTTTCTTGGACCCAGCTATCGAGAACGTGGTGTTTTGCCGCGGAAGTTGTGCGCATAACCAATGGTCGGTTCGCTCAGCTTTACATCATGGTATCGTGCCCGGTGCGCCTGATCGGCTTGTAGCCGGGCTGTTTCCTACAATCCACCGTGAATACGTAACTTTTCATAAAAGCATATCAAATTCGGCGGGCGAAGTGATTTCTATAATGCTGAAAGATCAAAACGTTTTAAATGCTGCACAAAACTACGGTGGCAAACTAGATAATCATAGACCAAGTTTTGGAGAAGTCAGCCAGTCTGTGACAATCATTTTTACCGAGTGTATCTGCGCGTGTCATTTACCAGAGCGTAGCCAGATATTAGTGGGAGCTGTTACTTGGTTGAAAAATCTCGAACTTAATTTTGGAAGTCTGTAACAGGGGCATCCCGTTTTATGGTGATGGTCGCAGATACTATGGTGCAAAGCCCAGATGTCCTAAATGTCCTAAATCTGGTACTGATGAGGACCATCTAGGGTTACATTATGTAGGATACATAAATTATGGAGGAGTGTGTTACTAAATAAATCGTATATATATTAACAAGACTGAGTTGATCAGATATTTGTATAAATCTAAATCAGACTGAGCTGATAGATAGATTATCAAGTATTTCGTATAAATCTAAATTAGACTGAGAAGAGTGAGCGAGATGATAATATCAGGAGAGGCTCTCGGTTCCGCTCCTTGCTTGAACAGACCGCTTCTTTTTGTGTAGAACATCCGAGTCAGAATAAGATAGTTTTCTTTGCGAAAGAAGAAGTTGTTCTATTATAGATGTAGGGAAACAAGGCCTGCATGAATGATTTTGCCTTTATTTTACCTTGATGGGATAGCCTAATCGCCAGTCCAAAGGGACAGAAGCAAAGAATCGATTGCCTGAAGACGCTAGCCATGAGGCCGCTTCTATTAAGCATCCTGCTCAACGAGTGCAGGACCGAGGGCAATCTTTTGTCAGGTAATAGAAGTTAAGACGACAATGACTTTGGACATATTATGAAACATGCAAAGCGTGTCGCGCTAGCTCTATATATGTTATAAGGCGGCGCGCGACAATGGGCACTTACGATTGGCATCTTTGTAGAAAAAGCGTTTTAAGATCGAAAGTGTTTAAGCAACAGATGTCGAGATAGTTTGCACTGCATAACCAGACCTATCGCTTTTTATTGATCAATAAAAAAATGCACCCGTCGAGGGAGGCAAAAATGAATGCAATATTCTACGAGCTAAGAAATCAGTAAGCCGCGATAGCGTTAGACCCTTCCTCATAAATGGTGGCAGTAATCGTTTGCATAAAGGATTTTGTCAAGGTCCAGATTGCACCGAAATCTTTAATTTCCGACATGTCTACATCTGTACCTGTTATTCTTGATTCCAAGGCTTGCCGTATAATGAACTGACTCATTTAACCTTCACGTGCGGTGGTGCCTCATCCAAAAAAACAAGTACAGAATATTTTGCGAGGCACAAAAGATGCTTTGTGGTCACTTCGGAAGTCAATAGATATGTGGTCCAGTGAGCAATGTGAGCTGCGTGCCCAACTCGTTTAAGTGGGTAAACATCTTGTTACGCACTTGCTAAGCGCATCAAATGTGTAAATACTCGCCGCATGTGCAAGAGTATTTAATCAGTCTGCCGGAGTCAGCACTGGCAGACCACATCTGTTTGTCGAAGTTATGTCGAGTCTTCTAAGGCATCGGGTCGTACTGGCATGATAGTCTTTGTGAATTAGCTGAGTAAAGTAGCTCGTTGCTGCTGACAGTGACACAGCTACCGGTAACATATTGAAAATTGCGCTTAATGGCAACATTAAAGCTTGTTTTGTACTTGTCATCATATTGAACAAATTCCGTCAATAACATATCGTCAGGCATGCATGGTTTGGCGAAGAGTATCACATGAAGCAATAAGCGCGGTGCTGAGGTGAACTGCTCTCACATTTTGACTTTGCGCTGTTTATAGCAGTGCGATTTCTAATCTTGATATTCTGGCTTGATCAGCTTCCATGACACCGCCACAAAGCGACTAGGTTTTTTGGTAGGACGGCTGTTGATATATATTTTACTTGCAAATATCTACCCGATGACCCTTTGTATCAAAATCACAGTTTCTTTCACTGATGAGCTAGAGCGTCATGCGCAGATCTGCCACCGGCAAGCAGAGCACACACGAATATATAGTAGGTGAAAAGAACAATAAGATGCTGGTAACCTCTATCTATTAGTAGTTAATATTACTAAATTGTGATCCCAGATATTGAATTGTATACAGGCTTAGTTGGACGGGATAGGTCAACCCTCCGAAGATATAGTGAGCACAACTTGTGTTTTACATAAGAACATTGAAGCCACAATATGATCTTGATCTTACAAGTGAAGCGCATTCTAAGGACGATTTTTCAGATATCCCAGACCCTTACTGGAAAAACAATAGTGTTTTGAATTAGTTGGGATGCCTCTGGTCACTCCGTAATGTGGATCACGAACGGCTTGGGGCAGAGCAGGTGGACCCTGAACTTGACAAGTGCATACTTCATCGCAAGTC